TAAGAGTGAATTTATTTACCACACCCTACGTTACAAAGCATCCTTCCTTTTTTGTAAATTATTTATGTCAATCTTTAGTTTATACGTCACACCCCCCTTAAAATGGTAAATGATAAACATAAAAATATATATAAATTTAAACTGTAATGCATCTTTATTAGAAATTGATACAAATATACTATCCTAAATACAAGACACGTAGAGCCGACCATGCTAAACACGTGATAATCCTATAACAGAGTAATCGAAACTATCTAAAGAAACATTACAGAAAATATAAAATAAATACAATACCTGAAAAATAAAATAAACTAAAACTAGCAAACTAGAAATTTGTGAAATCTAACTATTTAAATTCTAATTTTAAGTGTAAAGGAGCAAAGATGAAATGTGTAATAGTGTCGGATCTGCCAAGTGCAGCTTCAAAAGATGAGTTTCAACGGTCCCACACCCAACAATTTATTCCACCAAACCTATTTAGTCCTACAAAAAAAATAAAAGTTAGTATTTTAAACTAAATTGGACAAAGTAAAAGAAAATACATTTTGTTTATTTTTAAAATCTTTGCTATCGAAATCTTTTTTATATATATAAATTTGTAACGAATACATTATTTCTATAATTAATTATATAAAATAATTACATAATTAAATTATATAATATTAATTATATAATAAAATAAATAAAATTGCTACAAATCACCGGCAGTGATCATCACTGGTGTCACATGATTTTTAAAATTTTAGCCGGATTTAAGTGATCTACATAAAAATTTCCTTTTTTGGAATCTTGTGTAATACATTTCTCATTTTTTGATGAGAAACAAAATTGCCTTTTTTGAATTGTATAACATTACTCAAACCCTATAAAAGGAAATTTATATGTCAATTCCTTAATTCCAACCAAATTTTATAAAATCACATGATATCAGTGATGATCACCGCCAGTAATAAATAGCAAACTTCTAAAATAAATAATTACTTAAATAGTATAATAAAAAGTAAAAAATTATATAAATAAATAATTTATTAGAAAAATTAAATTATAAAAATATAAAGTAATATAATATTTTTTTTTTTTTTTTTTTTTTATAAAGTAGTGCAATTCATGAGTTTATTAATTATATGAAAGTACAGGAGTATCTACTAAATGTATAATTAATCTATTAAAACTCTAAACCAGTTTCCCATCCTATAGATTGCTCCTGTGTCCTACCATTACCAATATAAAATTCACCTATATCCTCCCATAATTGCTATCAGATTATATAGGATCATTATTATCATATGGCTTCAATATGTGCTTTCACTATCCTCTAAACAAAAAGAAAAATTATATTTGTATTTGTATATCTTAATATTATTATATACCTTTCAAATCACCCTATTTCCTTCTCTGATAAATAAAGTAATATAATATTAATATAATTATAAATATATAAATATAATGTATTTTTAATATAAAATTAAAATTTAATTTTTTATAATAAATATGAATTAATAAAAATAAATTTTATTTTTTTAAATATAAATATAAAATAAGTTTTTTTAGATAATATTATATTATATTTATAAAAAGTATAAATAATTAAAAAAAAAAAATCTTGTATTTTAAAATAACTTTACTAAAAATAGCAAATTTTTTAAAATGATTTTATAATTTTAAAATACTACTAAAATGCATTCAATATATCTATAAAAATAACTTAAAGTAATATCACATACAATAATTTTTTAATGCTTTTATTATTATTTTATTATTATAATATAATATTATTTTAATATTTTAATTTTAAAAATACTTTAAATATATTTAAAAATTATTGTATCTAAGTCTATAAAAATATTTCAAATAAATTTTTTAAAAAAAAATAATTTTTTAATATATATTAATATGTAAAATATATATTATATAATTATGTTTTATAATTTTTTATTTTTATTATTTATTATTTTAAGGATGAATTTTTTTGGTAGAAAAAATTTTATTTATTATATACAGTCAACTCCCTCTATAGTCACTCCCGTTATAGTCACATTCTACTATATAGTCACACCAGTTGAATGTTCAAAACACTTTATTATTAAAATCTATCCTATATAGTCACAATCTATCTATAGTCACTATCACACCTATCCTCAAAAATCTTATATTAAAAAGAACCGTTTATAATCACAGTTATATAAAGAATATATTAAATAACTTGGCATCTAATAATCGTACAAAGATGTATCATAGCTTGTTAGAATCGTCTCACTGAGACAAATCGAATGGTGGTAGTTTTATCCTTTTCCGATCACTGACTGACGAGTTATTCAACAAAATGTTAAACATCGGCATTATAATATTTCTTGATTTACGTTTACTGCGCCATTTAACATTTTTCTAGATTTCTCGGTACCTAGTGATTGTAAAATGACAATTTATAGCTCGTTGGAATCGCCTCATCGAGACAAATCGAATGGTGGTAAGTTCATCTCTCTGTGATCAATATTGACGGAGTTATTACTTAAAAACCATTTAATATTTTTTAATTTCAGAAATTGATCTAGTGATTGGATTTCAATGTATCTTATACCATTAGATTCG